AAAGAAAGAAAGGAAGAAAGAAAGAAAGAAAGAAAGAAAGAAAAAGAGAAAAAGAAGAGAGAGGAAGACTGGAAAGGTGGGTACAGACCAATTAAGTCACAGTAAGGTGAGCTGTAAACAGTTTTCATCAGATGACTGAAACACTTTGAATGTTTTCTAACAATATCACTTTGTTGTGCAAATAGAAGCATGACATAAAAAAAAAAAAAAACCCGAGTGTGAGGGGCCAGAGGAATGAGAGTTTCTTTGCATTTTCTGTAGGACAGTACTTTTGAGATTCTTAGAGCCACACCTTGTTCCATAGCATTTCCGTTTCCTTCCGAAGCATCTCGTTTTTCTTTTCCTGTTAGAAGAGGAAGAACCAAACAAACAGATAGGTTTGACTGACTGTTAAGTAAGGTTAGAAAAAACCAACTGTTTAATGGTAGAAAAGGGATTCCCAGACACAGCAAACCACAAAGGAAGGCAGTAAGTGGTCCTTGCTTTTCATACAGAAATATGATTTTGATGACTATGATGATGGTGGCAATGGTGGTTACAAAATTGTTTCAAACAATGATTTTTTATGGTGTTTATGAGATGTATCAGTAGAAATAAATTCTTAACTCTTAAGATGTTCTTATATGATGTCTCTTACGGGCTTAGATTATTAACTTCTGATATTTAAAGATCTTTTACATTATTGACTTCAAAAAGATCTACAACTCTTTCAAAACAAACTTTTTCTTTTCCTTTGATAGGTGTTTTTAATCCTTTAGAAATGACAAGAGCTAATATTCTTATATTCATAAACTACTAAGTGAAACCTCTTATTTTTTTTAAGTCAAAAAAGTAGAATCCAGGACAGCCAGGGCTACACAGAGAAACTCTGTCTTGAAAACGAAAATACAAAACAAACAAAAAAATTAGAATCTTGCTAACTAGCCCCTGTTCTTTCCATCATCCAACCTGATTTCCTTAGCATCACTTTGGATTTTGTAGATACAGAAAGAGATCAAAGAGAGTCAGGTTTGAAGCATCGAAGACCAGAGATGAGTATTTATTTCCGTAAATGACAACAGCAGTTCAAGAAGTCATGCCTTTAGTAGCTACTAACAACATCTCACCAAGTTCTGTTTCATCTCCTCTGCTTCCGTAATGAGCACCATGACTGAAGATTCATCACACCTTTTCCCTGCCATGATCTGCCTCATGATCTGCAGACTAGAAGAAAAGAGAGAAGACATTAAATATATACGCCCTTTAAGAAGTAAAAATAATATCTGCAATCAGCCAGAAAGCTTTCTTCCATGGAGGTTCAGCAGAGGCTGAAAACTCAGGCATTAGAGAGGCCCTGAACACTGAAAGTGTCCCTGGGATGATTCCATTCCTAATTAATGTTAGTTGAAGGTATATGCTCAGTAATGAGTCCTGTGCTCTTCAATATTCAAAACTTAGGTCTCCAACAGTCATTCAAAGTGCTTTCCACCCTCTGAAAAGGGTGTTTTAGTCTATAACTTGAGAGAAGGAGTGTTTCTGCCTCTACATAGAAGAAATTGAATTTTTTGACATCTTTCAAATTATTTCCAGAATTATTCCCTATCGCATATCTGTCTGCTTCCTTCTACCCCGTGAGTATCCAAATATGAATTAGTATCATATCCTCCATATGAGAAGGATACTACTATGAGAAGGATACTATTTAAAGTCATTAATTTGTGTTTGTGTTATTGTCCTTTTTCCTCCCTGGATCTGAGTAGAAGGCCAGATCTAACATGCTCTCTTGCTCCAAAAGAAGTCTATATTGCTGGTTTACAAACAGCTGGTGTTTGACCACTTTTTTTGTTTGTTTATTTTTGTTTGTTTTTCGAGACAGGGTTTCTCTGTGTAGCCCTGACTGTCCTGGAACTCACTCTGTAGACCAGGCTGGCCTTGAACTCAGAAATCCACCTGCCTCTGCCTCCCAAGTGCTGGGATTAAAGGCATGCACCACCACTGCCTGGCGTTTGACCACTTTTTATCCTCCCGAAATCCGAGTTTCTTAAGTGCTTATGATAAGGGTATATAAAGAAGACAGATCAACTGAAGTGATATTTCCTGTGATTAGAAAGGAAGCAGAGGCTTTCAAGTTGCTAAGAACAATTTTCTAGCACAGATTTAAATTCTCATCTCCCTAATCCAAAGAGCTCCTAGGCTCAGAAAGAAATCATCGCTTTTCTACTTAATATAGGAAGAGTAGTGTTTACCCTTAAGTAATTCTACCATCATAAATAAGCAAAAGTATCAGTGATCAGTATAATAATGATGGGGCTATGCTATAGGAAGAGTAACCGTAGCTTCATGAGATGAGGACCAAGTCATACTTATTTAAAAACAAATAAAATGAAGGGTTCCTGTTTGTCCTGCTTTTTGTAGTGGGAAATTCTTTATATTCTACTGGAGCTGATTGTCCACATTTATAAATAAACCAGTGATACTTGTTACTAATCCTATGGTGGTTGCATTATACAGACTTTCTATCTCAAAGAAACTGAAGAGGGACCCTTACCTCCTTTGTTTTTCCTCCAAGTTAGCCATTACCTTCTGCAATAAGAGATTGTTCTTATCTTCCAGAGGTTTCAGCATCTCTAGAAGCTCCTGCTTTCTTAACTTTAAGTCCTCGTTCAATTCTTTCAAGTAGTTGTCATATACTTTAGAATTTCTGTGAGAGCAGATACAATAATCTATCTTAGCTTGGGTAAATAATCAGACCTTTCCCTTCCCAGACAGCTGCCTTTTGGCTTCCCCTACCAAAGACTCACTTTTTTGAGGACAAGCCAGATTCTGAAGAGTTTGTGTCACTTGTCATCTTGAAGGGAAACTCCTAACAATAAAGAGGCCTTGAAAATATGTGCCTTCTTTCCCCATGCAGTTAAGACAGCATTTGGGGGCTGTTGTTCTTGAAGATCCTGTTGCATTGGACAGATTTTAGCTACAGCTTGAGGTCACAATAGCACCAAGACCACAAAGTCAGCAGATACATTTAAGTAGCATCAGCAACTGCTTGATGACTGAAAATACTTAACTACAATATTAATTCTTGTCTTAGGTTTAGCCAAAACCCCAAAGTTCTCTTCTAAAATCTTTGAATGAATAGAATAGAGTCACAGAGAGAGTGCTTACATTATAAAATTACTGTTTGATTAGAAAATGGTGATTTATCAAAAAGAACTCATCAACACTATGGTAACAGACCTTTGTGAGAGATAAAAGGATAAAAAGATAACAGCACCTATTTCTGGGGGTTTGGGAAAGGAAAACGTCTAACCAACACTTTTAAATAGACAGAGGTTAAACTGGCAAACTCAATGATGTAATGGAGTGATGGGTAAACTGTTGTCATTTCCCCCCATCTTTAAAACTCCATCTGTCAGCTGGGTGTGGTGAGTCACACCTATAATCTCGGTGCTAGGGAGGCAGAGGCAAAAGGGATCGAAAGTTCAGGGCAGCCTTGGCCTATGTAGCAAGACTGTCTTTCCAAACTAACCGAGCCAACACAAAACCAAACATTGATATGATGTCAAGGGGAAAGAGAATTGAGCATGTAAGAAGAAAATATAGTCTTGAAAGATCCACACTCTCAGGTGCCTTCCCCAGCCAGGTCCTTTCCTGGAAGGCTATACTTCCTCAGCTCACCTCCACAGATCAGTTCTGACTCTGTTACTCTACCTGCATTAGAACTACACATCTTCTGGACGTTTAAGATCAACTGTATCTGAGACTCCTAGCAGTGGGGGATATGGATCCCAAAGTGGCCACTTTCTGTAGCCAAGCAGGACTCCCAGTAGAGGGATAAGACAGCAGCCTAATCACAAAACCTTTGACCCAAAATGTGTCTTGCCTACAAGAGGTGAAGGGGAAAAAGACAGAGCAGAGACTGAGGGAATGGCCAACCAATAACTGCCCCAAATTGAGACCTATCCCATAGGCAAGAACCAATCCTAACATTATTAATGATACTCTCTTATGCTTGCAGACAGGAACCTACCATAACTGTCCTCTGAGAGGTCCATCCAGCCTGTAGAGACTCATATCCAGACATTGGATGGAGCTTGGGGAGTCTTACAGAAGAGTTGGGAGAAGGATTGAGGGATCTGAGGAGGATCCACAGGAAGACCAACAGAGTCAACTAACCTGTGTCCTTGAGGGCTCTCAGAGACTGAATCACCAACCAAAGAGCGAGCTTTTACTGGACCTAGGCCCCCTGCACATATGTAGCAGATGTGCAGCTTGGTCTTCATGTGGATCCCCCAGCAACTGGAGCAGGGGCTGTTCCTGAGCCTGTTGCCTGCCTGCCTGTGGATCTCCTACCCCTAAACAGACTGCCTTATTTGGCCTCATTGGGAAAGTATGTGCCTAGTCCCCAGTGACTTGATGGTGGGGAGGAGGAAGGGGAGTCATTAGTGGGAGCGATACCTAGAGGGGGGCTTCCCCTTCTCAAAGAAGAAGGGGGGAGGACTTATGTGAGGGGGTACTGGAAGGAGAGAAAGGCCTGATATTGGGTTGTAAAGTAAATAATAATAATAAAAAATATTGCCTTCCTTACCTATGCCATTTAGAAGCAGAAAATAGTCCAAGGAATTATATATTTTTAATATGCCCTTTAAAAAGTTTTATGAATTCATTTTTATATGGTATCACAGATAAAAATTAAGGCATGCTGTTTCAAATACTGACCAACCATTTTTTGAGGTGTTTCCTCCAAAGTGATTTCAATCTTTTATCTTTGGGGAAATTTGAAAGGCAAACCTTAGCGCTGAAAAAAAAAAAAAAGCAAAATCTTATTCGTCAGAACTTGGTTGGAGTATCAGCTTCACTGTGAGCAGTGGGCTATCTGTGAGCAAGTTTTCAAATTCTCTGAGCCTGATGAGGTTTCCACTTTTATAAAAGGATGAATTATTGACCTGAGAAGATTGTTGTGAGCATGAAATATGTAATGTGCCTGGCTCATGCCAGGTCTTCACATCTAGTGAGATTTTATTTGGCTTGGGTTTGTTTAATGCCCCAATTAAGTAGCCAGATTTTTTTTTTTAAGCTGATATCTGTAGATCTTAATCTTAAGAGCCTTTCATTCTCAAGATCTCTTCCAAAGGCCCTGAACCTTTGAATTTAAAATCATTTTTGAAAATAGAGACTTCTCCCAAATTATGTATGGCCAGAGTCTCACAAAATATGGATCTGCCCTGGGTTAGATAGAATACAAACCTACATATCCTCTACATCAAAGCTCCTCTTCAGACAATCTTTACAAATACTTTTTCTAAAGTTTTCTCATGTCACTTGAAGGTTGTATGTGACAGAAATTTTAAATTAGAAAAATCACAGCATGTTAAAAATAATTCATGTTGGTTGCCCTAGGACTGTCCACAAAAACTTCTCAATTGAATGAAGGGGAATCAAATTCTCACTGTTAAAAGAAGGTAGTGGATGGACTAGTTATTACTGATAGTATCTTAGACTACATATGTGCCAGGTGGCAGCAGTAGTAAAGGACAAAAATGGCCTTGCTTACTGAAGTATAGCCTATTTAAATTTCATGTTGTGACATTTGGCAGGCAGAACTGTGATAGAATATTAAAAAATTTAATGGGCAGGCAGCATCCCAACTCACCTTCTTCTCTGCCCTTGCTTGTGAATGATTCCAAGAAGAAGAACACTTGCTATTCTGAGGTAGTCTTTGCTACAGCCAATCAGCCGTGTTTATTTTTTAACATTCTAATGTCCATTTCTTCAACTTGGAATATGAATCCCAAGGAGTATATTCACCTTACAATGATGTATGTGGATATTAGAGTGAAAAGCATTTAACATAAGGAATTTTTTGAAACAGAAGCTGAGTTGGATTGAGAGGGGCTGGGGGATGTTTTGTATCAGCATGTAGTGCAGGAAGAAGTGAGGGTGGCGTTTTAGGTGATTATTAAAAGTAGAGGGACTCAAAGTAGAAAGTAGGTCATTTGCTGATTGGCAATGTTTGGTGAGAAAACCCTAGAAGAGTAATGTCATGAGATTTGGAATTGCATCTGATCAGTAGGAAAAGAAAGCCAACTAGCCAGACTCAAAAAATATCACTTTGTAGTGCTAAAGGTCAAGGTGGATTTAGAAGCTGAAGTTCTGTCACACTATTAATCAGTAGGTACACAGTTTTGCCTATCAATAGCTGGCAAACTGGAAACTACAGTTGAGAAAAACAGATGATTGGTGGATTCTGGGCTGGAACCTGGTAGAACCAATAAGCAGAAATTCAAGGAAGAAGGTTTTGAGAATGTTGGTGAGTGTTCATCAAAAGATCCACCTAAGTCTTCAGGGTATTCAGGATAAAATATGAAAAGGGGTTGTGAAGTGGAAACTTATAGTTTCTTTGGAAAGTCAGTTGTGTCAAATGATGTTTTGCTGGGGCACACAGGTGAAAGGATGTCTTGCTAAAGCAGACATGTGGAAGACTGTTTTCCTGAAGCAGACTCAGGTAAAAGGATGTTTTGCTATAGCAGACACATGGAGAAATATGTGATGAAGCAGTATAAATATTACCCCACAGACAGTAGGAGCTGGAGGGTTGCTTTGGTTTGCTCTACCTCACTATTCTTCGATAAGGACATGTATTGGTTCACCTTACGTAGCATTGTTGAGCTCTGCTTGAGGTAACACTGCCGACACCAAGAGAAACTCTCTAAAGAATTTCTAGTGAGGTTCCTGCAGATTGCCTCTTCAGTGGTTTCAGGCAAGTTCTCAAGCCTTGGAGTTTCTTCAGGATTGAACTATACAGCTGCTGGCTCATGCATGGTGTCTGCCTGCTGAGAGGATGTCGGCCAGCTGGATTGCAGCTGTTGATCTGTATTTGGTGTTTGCCATAGGACTGAACTGCTGACAAAGGTTAATGAAATCACCCACAAAAAAAACTATTGCTAAACAGGTCCACTTGTCCCATATCCTAATAACTTTTCTCTTCCACTACCTCTAGTGGGTAGTGGGCAAGAGGAGAGGTTGAAAGTTTATTAAAATAGGCTGCAAAAACATGTGTACTGTTGGCTGAGAGAGAACAAACAAGGAGTTGAGACTGAGGAATGTGGAGGAGAACAGAGGCCCTAGTCAATGGATGTACATCTTATGAAATGACTTGGGGAACTTCATCACCAGTTGGATAATCATAGTAGTGATCATAATGTCTTCTGCAGGAACTTTGTATCTTTTGCTTCCTTTCACTGCATAATCACTGAAATTCATGTGCTACCTCAAAATAGGCCTTACAACAGGTTATTCGCAATGACTTCATCCACCGTTATAGCCTTTGGTTTTAGTGTCTGTTAAGAAAAAGCATGACTGCTCTATAATTAGAGAACTTTGAACCATTTCAGTGTTAGTTTTGCCAGCGGAAAGTCAAATTAGTCTAATTAAGTAAGGTCTCCAAAAGTAGAGGCAATTATTTTCATATTAATGTGAAAGATTAGAGGGAAAGAGAGGAAGAGTGGGAGGGAATTATATTTCTGTGTTGTTTGTTATAATCATTTTGTTGGCTACTTCCCCTTAACTCTTTTTAAAAATAATTTACTGCTTGTTATGTTTTGTTTTGTTTTGTTTTGTTTTGTTTTGTTTTGTTTTGTTTTGAGACAGGGTCTGACCACATAGCCTTGGGTGGCCTGGAACTTAATAAGTAGACTAGAATGACCTTGAACTCTGCCTCCCAAGGGCTAGAATTAAATGCACCACTGTATTCTTATTTTTAACTGTGTATGTGCACATGTGGGTATGTGCACATGAGTGTGGTACTCGCAGAAGCAAGAAAAGGGCATTAGATCCCTTGGAGCTAGAGTT